GAGTATTTGGTAGAATAGCCAGCTGGATTATGTCTGGTCTTATCCAGGCAAGCATTTAACTCTGCATCTACTTTGAGAGAAAGGGTATGTTTCTGTAATCTAGTGACCACATTAACAGAATAGCTTTGGCTGACACTTTGCGCCAAAGTGTCTGCCAGCTGGTTGCCAACTGTATGAGGTGAAGAACCTAACTTCCTGTGTGCAGGTTCATACACAATTTCAATGTCAGGTTTCTTTTGCAAATATGCATCAATTTGTTTCCACAAAGAAATATGTTTCAACGGTTTACGTTGTACTGTAAGAAAACCATTTGAGCGCCAGACTGAGAGATCTTGTACAGTGGATCTTGCGAGATAAGCTGAGTCTGTCACTATCAAAACCGGCCCCACTATTGACCTACTTTCCTTTAAAGCATGTGTATATGCATATATTTCGGCATACTGTGCTGAATGATCACCTATGGGTATTGACCAAGTCTGATCTACCTGTCCTGGTACACATTTTACAATACCGCAACCTGCAGATTTATTTTTGTTTTCGGCTAAAGAATTTACAGCTGATCCATCTGTATAAAATATAGCTTTATAAAAATCATTAGGGTGTGTCTGTCTTTCCCATTTATTTTCAGAATCTGATGAGGTTGGTAGATCATCTAATGTTGGTAGTGTTTTGTCATGAATAAAGGTTAGTTGTGGATCTTCTAACAGAGCATACCATTTGAGCCAACGGCTTTTTAAAGCCTTTCTTTCTGTAATTGTTTGTTTCTGCAGAGCATTTAGTGAAGCAACAGGTGTAAATAACACAATCTGTTGTCCTTGAGCTATGTTTCTTGATTTTAATAATGTAATCGAAATAGCTGTCAAAACTTTTTCCAGAGGAGTATATTTTAATTCAGTTTTAGTAAAACATAAGATAGTAGACATAAAGGAGTCACGTCATTATCATTATATAAACGTGCATATGCTATATGTGGGGAACATGTGATTATAGCTATGAGCTTTGTATCACAGTTTCGTTGGGCAAGATATGATGTGTTATTCACAGCATTAATAAGAGCTTTTAATGCTTTGTCATTTTCTGTTGTCCATTCAAAAGCAATTGTATTGCGTTCATTCTTAATTTCTCTTGAGATGGCTGAGTTTAATGAGACTATCAGTTCTTTATAATTTGGAATAAAAAACATTGCATAATTTAGAAGGCCAACAATGCTCCTCAGTTGTTTTAAATTCTTTGGAGCAGAAATATTCAATATCTTATCTTTGTAGGACGTGGTCAAACCACGACCTTGATTCGAGATTTCAAATCCTAAATAGTTTACTGTATGTCTTGCTATTTGTGACTTTTTTAATGAAATAATATAGCCAGCTATTTTCAGTCTATGAAGAACTGTTTTCAATACATCCAAATCTTCACTTTCAGTGTCATGTGAAAAATATATATCATCTACATAGACTTCCACATTAGGAATGTCAGTTAGCAATGAAATAACATCTGCTGTAAATAATGCCGGAGAATTAATAAAACCTTGTGGTAATCTCGTCCAAACATACTGTTTACCTGCCCAGGTAAAACTAGTTATATAATAACTTTCAGGACTGATGGGATGGCTCCAGAAACCATTGGATAAATCCAATGTTGTTTTATATTTTCCTCTAAACATATGCTGTAATATGGATGGGGAATGTGTATTCTGAGCTGCTACAGGTGGTGTAACTCTATTCACCTCTCGATAGTCTAACACCATTCTCCATTTATGGTCTGATTTTGGTACAGGATAGATGGCAGAATTCATGGAACTATATTGTTCCTTAATAACACCTTGTTTCAGCAGGTCATTTATTACAATCTGTATATAAGGTATTGCAAGTGGGTTAATTTTATATTGTGCCTGTTTCTTAGGTGCAAGTGTACCTGTTGCTATATGATGACAAATATCTCTCCTGTGTCCTACTTGATTTTCCCATTGTTGAAAAACATCCTTATTCTGTACTAGAATTTATTTTAATTCTTTTTTATTTGATAATGAGGTGAAATTTAATTGATGTTCTATTTGTGAATCAACATTAATAGGTACAGTAAGCTGTAGTGCAGGTTTTGAAACTATATCTATGAAATGTGAAACATCTTTATATGCAATTAAGAATGAAACATCCAAACTAGGATGTTCAGCCAGTTCAAGATTAACCTTCCTTCCATTAACTTTAATAGTATCATGATATAAAGGATATGTACCATTGCTCTCTAATGTTTCAATAGTAACATTAGAAAATGGATTGGTTTTTAATATGTTTTTCTGTACAAGTGAAATTTCTGCTTGTGTATCTAAAACCCCTTCATATGTCTTCAGAGCATATGTAATCTGCAAATCAAGATTATTCGTCCTGATTTTCTTCTTGCTCTGGGTTTTGATTCTCGGTTTTCTTTATTTTTTGTATCTTTTCATAAGATGGTTCCTGGAGGTCATCCTCACGATCATGGAACTTGTATTGTATGCAGTCCAATTCAATACAGGAGCTTCTTGGTTGTTAACATAATCCCAATGCAGTTTCAAAATGACTACTAGGGTTGATGTTATCATGATAATGCTGCAGATAGTAATAAAGAGACACCACATCCAATTCTTTAGTATCCATTTGCTTCCATCTTTGCATTTCTTTCTTACTGTGTTCCATACTTTATGTAAAGTCTGTTTTCTGGTAATGATGATTCATGTTCCAATTCTTCCATAGCAATTGTAAATATATCATTTTCTGTTCGTAGATCCTTCTCCTTTGCATTTTCAATTAACTGATCATGAGTTGGTCTATTGCGAGGCTGTGAGATGGGTTGCTTTTCCATTCTCTTTTGTGTTTCTCTTGCTTCCTTCAACAGTATCCATTGTGTCAGGGTCAATGGTTCTGTGGACATCTTGGAAATACTTTGCTGGTTTTAAATTATCAATGCTTACTGTTCTCTGTTGGCCTTGTTTGTTCTCCGTAATAAAAGTTCTCGGATTTAGAATCGTCACAATTTTCACAGGCTTTTTCCAGCGTGGTCGCAGGGGGCGTAGTGTATGGACCCTCTCCAGGATGAACTGGCCAACAGTAGGAACCCAAGTAGTAGGTGACGGATTGTGGTGCATTGTGGGTCGAGACGGTTTATATAGAATGTTACTATCTGTGTCGCTGAAATGAAAGCTGTGTAATATAAAGTACGGTTTATATAGAATGTTACTGTCCGCGGTGCTGAAATTAAAGCCGTGTAATATTAAGTACGGTTTATATAGAATATCACTGTCCGTAGTGCTGCCGTGTAATATAAAGTACGGTTTAGATAGACTGTTACTGTCCACGTTGCTGAAATGAAAGCTGTGTACTATAAAGTACAGTTTATATAGAATGTTACTGTCTGCAGTGCTGAAATGAAAGCCATGTAATAGAAAGTACGGTTTATATAGAATGTTACTGTCCACGGTGCTGAAAAGAAAGCCATTTAATATAAAGTATGGTTTATATAGAATGTTACTATCTGTGTCACTGAAATGAAAGCTGTGTAATATAAAGTATGGTTTATGTAGAATGTTACTGTCCGTGGTGCTGAAATGAAAGCTGTGTAATATAAAGTGTGGTTTTTATAGAATGTTACTGTCCACGTTGCTGAAATGAAAGCTGTGTAATATAAAGTACGGTTTACATAGAATATCACTGTCCGTGGTGCTAAAATGAAAGTTGTGTAATATAAAGTGAGGTTTTTATAGAATGTTACTGTCCACGTTGCTGAAATGAAAGCCATGTTATATAAAGTACAGTTTATATAGAATGTTACTGTATGCAGTGCTGAAATGAAAGCCATGTAATAGAAAGTACGGTTTATATAGAATGTTACTGTCCACGGTGCTGAAAAGAAAGCCATTTAATATAAAGTATGGTTTATATAGAATGTTACTATCTGTGTCACTGAAATGAAAGCTGTGTAATATAAAGTATGGTTTATGTAGAATGTTACTGTCCGTGGTGCTGAAATGAAAGCTGTGTAATATAAAG